CCTCTTGTCCCCTTCCAATCTCCCACACGACCCCAGAAGCAACCACTCTTCTGATTTTTTTTCTACCATAGATTAGCACTAGCTATTCCAGAACTTTATATAAATGGAATCACATAGTATAAGGGGTCTTCAGAAAGTTCATGGAAAGATTTGTATTATCTTTCCATTCTATTCTTCAATGAACTTTTGGAAATACAATCTCCTGATACACACAAAACATGGAAGAATCTCAAAAATGTATCATTACATTTTATTTCCTATAATTGCACTGTACAGTAGAATAAGTATATGTGATACATTACAGGTGTTTAGTTGTGTAAGATGATGTTATCATTTGTATTGTTGTTGGATGGAGATGGCAGAAGGGAGAAGTAAGGGGACTTCTCTGCCCTTCAACCTCTCTGGCCAGAGCAAAATCCAGATGGTATCAGAGACCAAAGAAGGGGACCTGTGGGTTCTTGCTCTGGGCTCAGAGAGAACATATGGGAGACACACAGGATCATTGGGATCAGTAGCATCCCATAGAAACATCAAGGTCTCTGTCATGGTGGAGGGACTGGGGAACTGGCAAAAAAAAAAAAAACTGTGATGCTTCTATGTGCCAGGCACTGGGCTGGGTGCCTTGAGCAAGGGATTGGAGAATCAGCGAGGGAGGAAAGGGCATTCCTGGCTCAGGACACAGCCTGAGGAAAGGCGAGAAGGAAGCAGCTGGTGAAGAGGGCAAACTCAGTGAGTGGGAGATGTGGCGAGAAAAGCAAGTTGAGGTCATACAGGGAAGATGGGATGAGAGGCCAGGCTCCTAAGACCCAGCCCCAAGTCTTTCCCGGGACCCTGGAGGGCTGATGTGTTTCTCTCGGATTCAGGGCAAGTACTTTGAGATCCAATTCAGCCGCGGTGGGGAGCCAGATGGGGGCAAGATCTCCAACTTCCTGCTGGAGAAGTCTCGCGTGGTCATGCAGAATGAAAACGAGAGGAATTTTCACATCTACTACCAGGTGCAGGGAAGGGGGCTGTGGGGCTGGGACAGAGGGAGCCCCACCTGGAGCTGGGAGTGGGAAGGGGAAGATGGAGAAATTAGTGTCTGGGAGCCCATGACAGTGAGGACCAGGGGACCACAAGGGCCACGCAAGGCCAGCTCCACATGCATGAGCTTCGCACACCCTCCAGCTGCTGGAAGGGGCCTCCCAGGAGCAGCGGCAGAACCTGGGGCTCATGACACCTGACTACTACTACTACCTCAACCAATCAGACACCTACAAGGTGGACGGCACCGATGACAGGAGTGACTTCAGTGAGACTCTGGTGAGCACCGGCTGTCACTCCAGCCCCCCTCTCCAGTTACAAATCAGGAAACCAAGGCCCAGAAAGGTGGAGACACTTACCCAAGGTCACACAGCAAGTGGTTGAAAGAGGCAGAATAGCCACCCAAGTGGCCTGACTCCCTGAGTCCATGTTGTGGCCCCAGAAGCCTAACCATGGGGCAGGGTGGAGGCCGGAATGGGTGGCACAGGTTTGTCTCCGTTATGCCCACAGAATGCCATGCAGGTCATTGGGATCCCGCCCAACATCCAGCAACTGGTCCTGCAGCTTGTGGCAGGGATCATGCACCTGGGGAACATCAGCTTCTGTGAAGATGGGAATTATGCCCGGGTGGAGAGTGTGGACCGTGAGTGTGGGCGCTGGGGAGGGCAGGTGGGAGGCCTGTGTGTGTGTGCACACGCGAACTGCTCCCTCCTAGCTCAGCACTGGGAGGGCAAGAACTACAAAGACAATGTCAGTGTCACTGGGTAAGATGGGGAGAGAGGGAGGAAACAAGGCCCAGAGAGGTGCAGCGACTTACCCCAGGTCACAGAGCGTGAGGCCACATGAGGCACAAGAGCCTGACCATCTGTCTCCTCTTGCCCTGGCCCGGCAGTCCTGGCCTTTCCCGCTTACCTGCTGGGTATCGACAGCAGTCGGCTGCAGGAGAAACTGACCAGCCGCAAGATGGACAGCCGCTGGGGAGGCCGCAGCGAGTCCATCGACGTGACCCTGAATGTGGAGCAGGCAGCGTACACCCGCGACGCCCTGGCCAAGGGACTCTACGCCCGCCTCTTTGACTTCCTTGTGGAGGCAAGTGGGACCAGGGCTGGAGGACTCAGTAGGTGCTCTGGGACAGCAGACATTTATGGAGTGCCTAGTGTGTGCCAGGCCCTGTGCGACCAGCCAAGTGGGGAAGACAGGCTTAAATGTCATAATGTCACCAATGTCTGGCCATGGGGAGCTGTCGGCATCAGCAGTAGCTGATCAGATGGAAGATCCGGAGACACCCTGCAGCTAAGTTCTGGACCGTCACTAGGACGGCGCTGCTGGAGCTGTCCAGGCCTGGAACTGGGATAGGGGCTTTGGGGATGGAGTAGGGTGGGTGCATTTGAGTGCCGAGAGGAGAGCTTTCAAGGAAACAAAGTGATGACGGGAAAGTGGTGGGAGGAAACAGGAAGTGTCGAGGCTAAGAATAATCACCATAGTAGCGAACATTATGTAGCACGTGGTGTGTGCCAGGTACTGTTGTAAGCGTGTTAGGTGCATCAATTCCTTCATTCCTCAGAAAAAGCCCTACAAGGTGGTTATTATTAACCTATTTTAATGATGAGAAAATAGAGGCACAGATGGCTCCCAAGTCAGGAGCCCCGATGCTCTAACACTTAGGTTTCTCCTATGGGTGATTGATCGGGGGGTGGGCAGGAGAAAGATGTGTGGCACCAGCGCCTGTGAACTTGGCTGAAAGCATAACATAAGAATGTCAGGCTGGGGTGAGCCTCGCTGGACATGCCCTGATCTGCTGTCCCCACCTGCATCACAGGCCATCAATCGTGCTATGCAGAAGCCCCAGGAAGAGTACAGTATTGGGGTACTTGACATCTATGGCTTCGAGATCTTCCAGGTAGAACCCCTACCCCCAGCCCACCTCCTGTCCTCACTGAAACTCTTGAGACAGCCCAGTGGCCACCAGAGCTTCCAGCATCCGTCCACTGAGAGAAGGACCCCTTTCCTCCCTTGGCAGAAAAACGGCTTTGAGCAGTTCTGCATCAACTTCGTCAATGAGAAGCTGCAGCAAATCTTTATCGAACTCACCCTGAAAGCCGAGCAGGTGGGCAGGGGCAGCCAAGTGGTCAGGGACGGTGGACTCTGATGGTAGGGGGGCAGGACCATGAGGGTTGCTGAGCAACCGGGGGACACCCCAGTCCCTTCCCCCACCCCATCGTTATCACCTCTCTCTGCTTACCTGTCCAGGCTCCATCCTAAGATTTCCTTCAAAAGAGGCCCTCTCCCTCTAAAGCTTTGGCAAGGGCTAGACAATAGCCTCTTTGTTCATTCATTCGACAATTATTTATTAAGCGCCTGTTGTGTGCCAGACACTGTTTAGGGTACTGGAGACACAGCCATCAACCAGACAAACCAAAGTCCTGCCATTTTGACTCTTTCCCTCTCCCAAAAGCAGAGCGACAATTATTTATTAAGCGCCTGTTGTGTGCCAGACACTGTTTAGGGTACTGGAGACACAACCATCAACCAGACAAACCAAAGTCCTGCCATTTTGACTCTTTCCCTCTCCCAAAAGCAGAGCCTGAAGCAAGGATTCAGGGCAAATGGTTTATCTGGGAGGTGATCCCAGGAAGCACCAAGAGGGGAATGAGGAAAGGACACAGGGATTTTTAAAAGAGTCCAGATAGGGTGTTAATGGGCGGGTTATGCTGTGGGCAACGGGGGCTCAATTCTGCTGGGACCCCTGGGAGACTTTGTAGAGCACACTTCAGAGTCGGCCCAGCAGAGGAGCGAGGGAGCTGGGCTCCTCTCCTGTGAGTTGTTGGTCAAGGGCTTCCAGGGGTGGGAACGTAATTCTCTGGCACTTCCACCGTGTCCCACACAGGGGCAATGGGCTTTGTCGGAGACAGTCCTAGGTAAGAGACGGGGGCAGTACTGACCACCTGTCCTTCACCTACCGCATCCCTGCCCCCTTTGCACCCCCAGGAGGAGTACGTACAGGAGGGCATCCGCTGGACCCCCATCCAGTACTTCAACAACAAAATCGTCTGCGATCTCATCGAAAACAAGCTGGTGAGGGCTGGGCCCACTTTGGGGGTCTCACTGGGCCATGGAGCTGGGCCTGGGAGACCCGAGAGGGGGTTATGGCACCCTCGGGCCCCTCTACCCTCCTCTGTGGCCCTCCAGCAGATAGAGCACAACTGAAGTATCTCCTAAGCCACCTCCTCCATTCATTCCTCCCCGCTGCTCCCCTTTCACTGTTTCGCTCCACAAACACCCCCTGGACAACCCTGCTCAGGGTCAGAGGGGTCAAAGTGGACAGGTCTCCACCAAGGAGCTCCAGTCTGGGGAAGGCATGGATTCCTTATGGGATCCCCCACCCCCTCCCGCGCCCCAGCGAGCTTCCCCTCCCCACATGCACAGATCTGGGT